TCACGTGTTGCGTAGCCTCGTCTGACGTAATCACATGTTGCGTAGCCTCGTCTGATGAAATCACGTGTTGCGTAGCCTCGTCTGACGTAATCACATGTTGCGTAGCCTCGTCTGATGAAATCACGTGTTGCGTAGCCTCGTCTGACGTAATCACATGTTGCGTAGCCTCGTCTGATGAAATCACGTGTTGCGTAGCCTCGTCTGACGTAATCACATGTTGCATAGCCTCGTCTGATGAAATCACGTGTTACGTAGCCTCGTCTGACGTAATCACGCGTTGCATAGCCTCATCTGACGTAAAACGCGTTGCGTAGCCTCGTCTGACGAAATCACGCGTTGCGTAGCCTCGTCTGACGTAATCACACGTTGCGTAGCCTCGTCTGACGTAATCNGTTGCGTAGCCTTGTCTGACGTAATCACGCGTTGCGTAGCCTCGTTTATTCGCATCAAACAGTCGAGAGGGAAGCTAGCTGGAAACAGTCGAGATTCAAATTTATATTTATTTAATTTTTTGCGAATTTTGAAAAGTTTGATAATAATTCACTCTACAACTGGATGGAAACACGATTCGTGAGTGGTTGTGTTATTCTCCCACGTTGTTACGATTCTTTCAAGGTAAAAACTGTATTTTTACATGTTGTGGTTTAGAATCATATGCAACACGTTACTGTTGATATAAGAAAATTGGAGAAAAACAAATGTAAGATGTTAAAGTAACATAAAATGTGATGAGCTGTTGTTTTGTACCTGTTTATTCCAGCACATGATCTGTGTGAAGGAGCAGCTGTCTGCACAGCTGAAGGAAGCTGAGGCTGAGCTGATAAGAGTCKGTTCAGAACGAGACCAAACCAAAGAGCAGAAAAAGGCTCTGGAGCAAGAGCTGCAGAGTCAGAAGGAGAAGATCAGCCAGAGTGCTTTTACCCTGAATGATCTGCACATGGAGAAACAGCAGCTGGAGCGCACCCTGAAGGAACTGAAAGATCAGCTGAGACATGCTCAGGAGCAGAGTGGACAGGCACGAAGAGAAGTGACAGAACTGAAGAAGATGCTGCAGGAACGAGAGGAGCAGCTAGCTGCTGCTACAGCAGAGCTGCATCAAGGAGGAGACGGGGGAACCCAGAGGGCTGAGGAGCAGCTGCAGGCCAAGGACAGGGAGCTGTCAGAGCTCAGGACAGAACTGGACCAAATGAGGAGCTCTTATGAACAGTCCAGGTCTGCAGAGTATGAGATGAAGATGGAGAGCAGGAAGTGGAGGGAGGAGAGGACCTGTGCTTTGGACAAAGAAGAAGAGCTGACCAAGCAGCTGAAAGAAAGCCAAACTGTCCTCAACAGGACTGTGAGGGAGAAGGACACACGGATCGAAGCTTTAAGACTGGAGAAGACCCAGCTGGAAGGTGAACTGCTGCAGGCTGAACGGGCTCTGAAAGAACAGAGGAAACAGTACCAGCAGACTGTGGACGAGCTGACCCGAGCTCGCTCCATGGACACCTCGGCCTTACACACTGAACACCAGGCTGCAGTCAGACTGAACCAAGAGAAAGACCTGGAGATCTCAAAGCTCAGGAGAGACATGGAGCAGCTGGTGTCTGACCACAGAGACACCAACGAGATGCTTTCCATCACAGTGACAGGCCAGCAGCAGCTCACTGACCTGCTGCAGGAGAAAGATGCTTTTCTGGACACTCTGAAACAAAATGCTGCAGATTTACAGATGGAGCTGGACAGTAAAGTCTCAGTCCTGAGCAGAGAAGCTGAAAGCATGAAACAGGCTCTGGAGGAGAAGGACCGACAGCTGGCTGGGATGAAGGAGGAGAACAGTCACCTGAAGGAGGAGATCGATCGTCTCAGGGATCAGCAGAGCAGACCTGCCCCCCTGGCTGAGCCCAGGACCCTGGAGATCATGACCGAGCTGGAGGCAGAGATCGCCCAGCTGAAGTCCTCCAAGAACTGTTTAGAAGAGGAGCTTCAGACTCTGAGGAGAACCTCTGAGGAGCAGCAAGCCTCTCTGTTTCAGTCTCAGCAGAGTGAACTGGAACAGGCCCACGCTCGTCATCAGCAGGCAACACTCAACTATGACCGACTGATCCGTGCTAGAGAGGAGGAGATCAGTGGCCTGCAGCAGACTGTCCATCAGCTCAGTGAGGGTCAGAGCCTCCTCCCTGCTCCACAGGGACAGCTCATCCTGCAGGAGCACAAGACACAGGCTGTAAACCAGGACAACGACAACGAGAAGCAGGACCTCTCTAAGGTGGAGGTGGACAGGCTGGTGAAGGGGCTGAAGGAGAAGGACACTGAGATCAGCCAGCTGAATGAGAAGAACCTCACGTTGTCCCAGCAGCTGGACCAGGAAGTGGGCAAGCTTTCTCAAATGATTCGTCAGAAAGATCTGGAGCTTCAGGCGCTCCACACCAGGCTGTCCCTGGCTGCAGGGCACAGCCAGGACGTGCTGTACCTGCAGCAGCAGCTGCAGACGCTGGCTGTGGAGAGAGAGCAGATGTTAGCCGTGCTCAACGAGAAGACCAGAGAGAACGGCCAGCTGCGCTCCGATTATCACCGCCTCATGGATATTGTAGCTGGGAAGGAAGCTGCTTTAGTGAAGCTCCAGCAGGAGAACCAGCGCCTCTCCAACATGACTGACCCCTCAGGAAGCCAGGACATGTTCAAGGAGACCATCCAGAACCTGTCCAGAATCATCAGGGAGAAGGACATGGAGATGGACGCTCTGACCCAGAAGTGTCAGACCCTGGTGACGGTCCTGCAGTCCTCAGGAGCTGCAGCCTCTGGAGGCGTCAGCAGCAACCAGTTTGAGCAGCTGCTGACAGAGAGAGACGCCCTGAAGCAGCAGGTGAAGAAGATGGAGGAGTGGAAGCAGCAGGTGATCACCACAGTGAAGAACATGCAGCAGGAGTCTGCTCAGCTGCACGACGAGCTGGTCCAGCTGCAGACTCAGGTGTCTGCTGACAGCGACTGCAGCTCCCAGCTGTGGGGGGACTACGCTCGACTGGTCCAGAGCTACGAGCAGAAGGAGAAGAGGCTGGGCAGTCTGAGCCTGGAGCTGGCTCAGGTTCAGCAGACCATCAGTCAGCTGAGCAGCACCAAGGATGTGCTGCTGGGGAAACTGGACAGTGTGGCACAGAGCCCTGACAGTCAGGCAGCTGGTGCTGAGGCCTCCAGCCAGCAGCCTGCTGCTGCTGCTGCTGCGCTCACAAACAGCCTCCAGCTGCAGGACAAGCTGGAACATCTACAGTCACAGCTGGCCCAGAGAGACAACCTGATCAGAACTCTTCAAGAGAACAACCAGCGGCTCTCCAGCTCAGAGAGCGAGCAGAGCCGTGCAGCTGAGGAGGTGGGCCAGCTCAGAGAGAAGCTGGAGTCCCTGCAGAGATCAGTCAGGGACAAAGACCTGCTCATCAAAACCAAGGGAGACCAGCTGGTCCAGGTCAGGGAGGCTCTGCAGAACCGTGACAATGACAACGAGGTGCTGAAGCAGGCTGTGACCAACCTGAAGGAGCGCGCTCTCATCCTGGAGCTGGAGGCCAAGAAACTGAAGGAAGACAACGAGCTGGTGGCTGCTCGCTCTCGAGAGAAAGAGTCTGAGTTCAGAGCTCTGCAGGAAACCAACATGCAGGTGTCCCTGCTGCTCCGAGAGAAGGAGTTCCAGCTGAGCGCAGTGAGCGACAAGGCTGCCACCGTAGAGAAGATGCTCAAAGACAAACAAATGGTACTTTAGTTTCTTCACTTTACTGACACGCATTCTTAAAGAAAACATTAGTAATGTGTTGATGTGACGCTGTGTCGGTGTGATGCTGTGTTGGTGTGACGCTTTGTTGATGTGAAGCTCTGTCGGTGTGACGCTCTGTCGGTGTGACGCTTTGTTGATGTGAAGCTCTGTCGGTGTGATGCTCTGTTGATGTGACGCTCTGTCGGTGTGACGTTCTGTCGGTGTGACGCTCTGTCGATGTGACGCTCTGTCTGTGTGACGTTCTGTCGATGTGACGCTCTGTCGGTGTGACGTTCTGTCGGTGTGACGTTCTGTCGGTGTGACGCTCTGTCGATGTGACGCTCGATGTGACGCTCTGTCGGTGTGACGTTCTGTTGATGTGACGCTCTGTCGGTGTGACGTTCTGTCAGTGTGACGCTCTGTCGATGTGATGCTCTGTCGATGTGACGCTCTGTCGGTGTGACGTTCTGTCGATGTGACGCTCTGTCGATGTGACGCTTGATGTGACGCTCTGTCGGTGTGACGCTCTGTCAATGTGACGCTCTGTCGGTGTGACGCTCTGTCAATGTGACGCTCTGTCGATGTGACGCTCTGTCGGTGTGACGCTCTGTCGGTGTGATGCTCTGTCGGTGTGACGCTCTGTCATTGTGACGCTCTGTGTATGTGATGCTTGATGTGTCGCTCTGTTGGTGTGACGTTCTGTCGGAGTGACGCTCTGTCAGTGTGACGTTCTGTCGATGTGACGCTTGATGTGACGCTCTGTCGATGTGACGCTTGATGTGACGCTCTGTCGGTGTGACGTTCTGTCGGTGTGACGCTCTGTTAATGTGACGCTCTGTCGGTGTGACGCTCTGTTGGTGTGGCTCTGTAGGTGTGGCTCTGTCTGTGTGACGCTCTGATGTGACGCTCCATCGGTGTGACGCTCCGTTGGTGTGACGCTTTGTTGATGTGAAGCTCTGTCGGTGTGACGCTCTGTCAATGTGACGCTCTGTCGATGTGACGCTCTGTCGGTGTGACGCTCTGATGTGATGCTTTTTCGGTGTGA